ACTGAATGACTCATGAGTTAAGAACGTCTTGTCTAGGGTAGCAAGGTAACAGTAAATTCCTTGCATTTCCAATATCCAGGAGAAAGACTCATCTGGATTAGCAAAGAAGGTACTTGCTCTACCACCTGGGATCTCCAATGCCTTGAGAGTTACTCAGTCTTCAGTTACTTATTAAGCTTTATGAAAGGCATAGGGCTAAGCATTGGGGATACAAAAAAAAGGTAAAAATATGGTCCTTCCCCTCAAGGAGCTCACATTCTAATAAGGGAGACAGCATACAAAAAAAAAAAATCATAGACAAAACATTTACAGCGTAAATGAAAGGCAATCCCAGAGGGAACACACCAGCGATTGGGGTTGGGGGGAGACCAGAAAAGGCTTCCTACTTAAGGTGAGATTTGAGCTGAGGTTTGAAGGAAACCAGGAAACTAAGGTGAAGAGGGAGAGCATTGCCTAGAGACATGGAGGGCAGACAGTGAACAGGCAGAGTCAGAGGGAGTGTCGCATAGTAGGACAGCGTGAAAGCTAGTGTCACTAGATTGTAGGTTACATAGAAAGGAGTAATGAGTAAGGAGGCAGGAAAGGTAGGAAGAAGCCAGATTGGGATAGACCTTAGAAGCGAAACAGAGCTATATTTGATCCTGGAGGTAATAGGAAGCTGCCAATTAGTGGAGTGCAGTGAGGTTATCAGACTTGCTTTTTGGGAAAATCACTGGCAGCTGATGGATTGGAGTGGGCAGTGCTTTGAGGTGTGGAGACCAACCAGAAGGCTATTGCAGTGATCCAGGCATGAGTGATGAAGGCTTGCATTAACTTGGCAGCTCTGCAGGTGGAGAAAAGGGAATGATGCTCTGAAGGTTGAAACATCAACATTCGGCAGTAGATTATCCAATCTAAGTGGCATGTGTGTGAATGAGGAGTTGAGTTGAGCTACTACAGAGGAAAGAAGTTTCTAGACGGGCAGATTTAACCTCTAGCAGTTTCATCAAATTATGTGAATCCAGATGAGCTAGAAACCTAGGGCTTAGGGCAGCTAGGTGGTGCTATAGTGCGTAGAGCACCATGCCTGGAGTTAGGAAGATTCATCTTCTTGAGTTCAAAACCCTCCTCAGACACTTACTAGCTGTGTGACCCTGGACAAGTCAATTAACCCTGTTTGCCTCAGTTTCCTCATCTATAAAATGAGGTGGAGAAGAAAATGGCAAACCATTCTGGTATCTCTCCAAGAAAACCCCCAATAGGGTCTTGAAGAGTCAGACACAACTAAAAATGACTGAACAACAACAAAAGAGCTTGCCCTAGCGTTCAACCCGAAGAAGAATGGGCTTAGGACAACTGAGAAAGAAGGGGCAAGGTCAGGGAAAAGAAAGAAATGACTAAGAAAGATTAAGGCCTAATTCCTAGAATATGCATAGAGGAGTGAGATTAGCTAATAAAACCTCTACAACTGGTAAAATCCCCTTTTGGTTTATTGTTATAATTCCTCTGGATGTTTCCCTGTTGTGCTAAGTAGTAAAACGGTTAAAATCAACTGAAGGTTGTGAGTGATTTTCAGCTGCCTGTAGGCCTACAACATGGCCACATTTGGTATAACATAGATTTCATGGGGTAGGCTTTTGGACAGTTTTCAGTCACTGATGCCCATTTCTCTCATTTCATCCTCTGGCTTCTCCCTGGGTCCCCACACAAGGCACATTTGGGTTGCCATACAAAAATCGATTGACTTTCTAGTAAAAAGTTATTTCAGACCTAAAGGAAACTGAGTATCTGACCTCAAAATGATTCAAGAAACCCTGTCTTATCTTTTATTCATTTTTAGTTAGGTTTTCATAGTAATCTCTGTTAGTGAGGGAGTCCTTCTCCACACAGAAAATTCTCTGTTCAATCAGTTTCTCCTCCCTTTTCCATTCTCACTGCCATCATCTTAGCCCAGGACCTTATTGCCTCTTGCCTAGATTACTGCAGTCTACATTATTTCCTTGCTTCCAGTTTTTCCTGCTCCAGTCCATCCTTAACGTGCTGTCAAGATTAATCTTGTTAAAACATGGCTCTGCTTGGGTGCCTCCCTTGATCAAAAAACTCCATCATCTCCCCTTACTTACAGGATAAAGTCCAAATTCCTTACCCTGGCATTGAAAATCCTTCATAATATATTGCCAGCCTATCTTCTAAGCTTAATCTCCCGCCTTCTTCCTGGTGCTTAACAAATATTCAGTGAATTTAAATTTATTGTTGTTCAATTGTTTTAGTCGTGTCCGACTCTTTGTTTGGGATTTTCTTGGCAAAGATACTGGAATGATTTGCTGCCTCCTTCTCCAGCTCGTTTTTCAGAGGAGGAAACTGAGGCAAGCAGAGTTAAATGATTTGCCCAGGGTCACACAGCTAGTAAGTGTCTGAGGAGGGATTTGAACTCTCGAAGATGAATCTTCCTGACTTGGCATTCTATCCACTGCACCACCTAACTGCCCTTAACAAATTTAAACTTAGTGAATTGAATCGAATTGAATTGTTCCTACATTCTAATGTTTAAGTCAAACTTCCCCATAATATGTTCTGTGCATTCCCACCTCCACACCTTTGCTGATTCTGTTCCCTACCTTGAATGCCCTTCTTTCAGACTTCTACCTGTTTAAATCCTACCGTCCTTGATTTATTTTTTCACAGTTATAATTGCTGTTATTTCTCTCCATCCTATTTCCCTACTGTTTATGCTATTCTCTCTCTCACCCTGTCCTTCCTCGAAAGTGTTTTGCTTCTGACTCTTACCTCCCCCAGTTCACCTTCCCTTCTTTTCTCCCCTTCTTCTCCTACTTTTTTTTTTGTCAAGGCACTTTGGGTTAAGTGACTTGCCCAGAGTCACACAGCTAGTAAGTGTCAAGTATCTGAGGTCAAATTTGAACTCAGTTCCTCCTGACTTCAGGGCCAGTACTCTATCCACTGCACCACCTAGCTGTGCCTCTCTCTCCTACTTTCTTGTAGGGTCAGGTAGATTTCTATACCCAACTGAGTGTGTATATTATTTCCTCTTCCTAACTGTCCTTAATATCCCATCTCAGGGGCTATTTCCTTAATGAAATCTTCCCTGAGTCTCCAACAGTAAGATTTTTCATACCTCCTTCTAACGCTCCCTAGTGCGTAGATGGTACAGTGGATAGAGTGTCAAGCCTGGTGTCAGAAAGACCCGAGTTTAGATTTGACCTTAGATACTTCTTGGCTGTGTGGCCCTGACCAAGTCACTTTACCCTTTATCTGCCTCAGTTTCCTCTTTGATAAAATGAGGATAATAATAGTACCTATCTCCCAGGGTTGTTGTGATGATAAAATGATATATTATTTGTAAAGTGATTTTCAAACCTATAAAGTACTATACAAAGGCTAACTATTATTGTTTTTCACTGATTTTTATTCATTCTACCTTGTATTTTGGTAATTTGTGTATTTCCCTTATTTCCCTCCACCCCATGAGACTATAAGTTTCAGGTGAATGACTCTATATAGCACCGTGCCAGAAATATAGCATGCAAGTTTGGGCAGGTATTACCCTAGTTAAGGAAGAGATGGACAGAGGCCAGAGCTACTCCTTTCCTAAGGCCCTCTGAGTCAGCAGCTCTTCCTGACCAGGGGTCAACAAAAGCATGAATTTTCTTTTCTCGAAACACAAGTCTTTCAGTGCTAAGCCACAGGTGTCCCTGTAATTTCCCAGGGGAACTGAGCACACACTTGCTAGGATGCAAGCCCAGCTGTCGCTTGCGTTCATAAATGCACCGACTTCTAAAAAGACTCTGGGGATGCTTCCCTTGGTTAGAAAGGTCACAGAGTCGGGCCTTACTGTTTTTCCTTCACTATTGGTTTTGATCAGAGGCCAGGTCAATGGAACATAAATTTTTTTTGAAAAGGTATTGATTATTGTGTGGCAGTTATATATCTTGGCAAAATGTTTTGTAAACATATTGGCAGATTCTAAGAAAGCACGTCTGCTCATGATACATGAGTTATATTTTGATTTGAATGACCTATGCCTAGAAAAAGAGGCAGTGTTGAAATAGGGTAAGAATGAAAGTCATGAAAATTGGTCATTCATAGCATAAAAGAATTATGCAAGACTGCTTCAGGGAGGAATTAAATTCTTCACTCATTATTATGGTGGGGATTTCTTTTTTACACTTAGTAGGAAGAAAAGAGATAGAGGCCACATTATGATTTCACTGGTATAGGGAACCCCCTGGTAATACCCTCCCCCTAACAAAACATATTGGTGCTTTTCCTATAACTTCCAGTGTCACGAGAGTTGCCCAAGGTCACACAGACAATATGTCAACTGATGTCTTCCTGAATCTAAGGCCATCTCCCTCTCCTCTCTGCCTCACTCTTTGCTAGAAACTAAGAATAATCCATATACCTGGAATATACCATCCCACCCCCAACCTCTATCTATTTAAATTTTGCCCATCTCTCAAAATCCATCTCAGATATGACCTTCCCTGCAGAGACTTCTCTGATCCTATTCCCTTCCTTCCCCTGCCCAGCTAGAGTGGATCTCTCCTTCATTTTATAGCATTTAGGGGAGGTAACTCTTATGACACTTAGCATATGAATGAAATACCATATATAGTGACTTTTGCCACTTTGAGGCACCGTATAAATGTAAATTATCTCTGCTGTTGTTATCGATGTGATTTCAGTGACTGAAACAACAGAATACTGAGCTCAACCATTATAAATGAGACTAAATAGCTTTCTTTGTAACTCTGAATGATGATGATAACACCAGTGTGTGTCCAAATACAGCCAGGTGGGGACAAAATATTGCTATCGGTGAAACTAAATATTCACTTACTAGGGCATGTTAAGAGCTTTATCACTATAGAGTTATAATCAGGATTTACTGTTATACTGTCAAACTAAACAGTACTTTTTTTTAAAATAGGCAAAGGAATATAGTTTTATGTGTAAAATCAATTTAAAATATCAGTAATTTTTTTCTGTCTTTCTCTTTCTAGCACCGGCGAGCAGAAAACCAGGAGATCCCCTTGTTATCTCAGATATCAAGAGAGGGAGCGTGGCTCACAGGTGAGACAATGGACAGATAATTGCATGACAGAAAAGCCCAGCCCCACGCTAGGTTCTTTCCTCCCTGGCTCAGGCAGACTGAACCTTTCAGACAAGCTCTGGTTGGCACAGAGACCCCACCAAACCTGAGGTGAGACCCAATGATAGATGCCCAAGCCTGTGTTCTGAGCACAAAGGGTGTGTCAGTTGGAAATCACAGCCAAGTCAGGGGTAGGAGCAAAAAAAAAAAAAGTGGTTCCCTAAAATGCTTATCTCAGACTTGGGACATTACAGGTATTTCCAACCCCTAGGTAACCCTTGTTCTGCAGGCCATAAGCCCCCTTGTCACTCCATCCCAGAAATGCACATGATTCATTGAGCATAGTTGGAAGTAACCAAGACTTCCCAGTCACAAATCACTAGTAAAAGGGCAGTGAGGTGGCACAATGAATAGAGCACCGGGGTTGGAGTCAAGAAAACCTGAGTTCAAATGTGGCCTCAGACACCTACCAGCTGTGTGACTCTGGGCAAGTCACTTAACCCTGATTGCCTCCATATCAAACAAATTACTAGTAAAGTCATTAGACACTACTTCCATATTTCACTTTTCTGAGTCTTCCCCCAATTCTTCCTCCTACACCTGAAGATTGACAAGAGATACCACGTGCAGAAGTAAAGCTGCAAAGTATTTGTTAACCAATGCAGAATGCACCCCTTCCATTATGTCTTTCTACTGTCGAATGAGAACTGTCAGTCAATCAGTAAGCATTGTACAAGTTCTTGTGATGTGCCAAGCACTGCGGATACAGAGGAAGGGGAAAATAAGAAATCAACTGATTCCCTCCAGGAGCTTACAAACCTAGAGGATTGGAAAGAGATCACATGTGGATTAGCAAGTTATTGTTGTTTGTCCTTTGTTCTGGAATAAGACCAAAGACATTGGGAAGGGGATGACTTAACTGGCAAGTGAATTGGATTTAAAGTGAGGCAGGGCTGTGCAAAGTCACCAGCCTCATTCTGTCCTCTAGAGCCATGTCTGGAGCAAGGGTCAAGATATAGATCAGGAGGGCTGGAGATGGCCCTGGATGCAGTGGGAGACCTTGGCCTTTTTAAGGTCTTTCCCAGGTCTCAGTTTATCTGAGTCAATGCCCATTCAGTGACGAAGGCTAGGTAAGAAATGAGGCAAGAAATGGCCTCTTTTACCTACACCCCCCCCCAAAAAAAAAACCAGTCTGGGAGGGGAAGACCCTCAGGATTTCTGGCTAAAACAGAAATGATTTCTATTTATACTCATTCTGAGCCATCAAAACCCAATCAATGACCAAGTGAGGCTTAGGCTGGGACCTATTGTTGTCCAATCTGTGAGAGCCAGAGTACTTTGGGCTTAAGGCATGGTGGAATAACTCCATTTGAATCCCAGTGGGCTTTATCCAAGCAGGTACATTCATAATCAAAACCGAATAAAATGAAAGTAACCTTAAAAAGGAATATTCAAATGACTGAAGGGAAACAAGGAAAGGCCAAATGCAGAAGGTGGCATTTGAGGTCTTCCCCTGAGTACAGTCTGTCTAATGCCTAAATCAATTAGTTCCCTGTTTATTGGAGGGAGTAATAAATTTAATATTTTTAATACCTGATAGCTAAATGTCATGGCTGTCATCCCAAAATCAGTAAAACAAAACAAAACAAAACCCAAAAGATGATTGTAAAGAAAATATTTTTTTTAAATTGAAGAATTGTTTTCCTTCAAAATCTGGATCATGTTTGATGATACTTTAAACAGCCCACTTAAGTGGTACTAATTCTTCGTGTGTTTCCATTCCTTTAATAGAACTGGGACCCTAGAACTTGGGGACAAACTGCTGGCCATTGATAACATCCGACTGGACAACTGCTCCATGGAAGATGCAGTTCAGATTCTCCAGCAGTGTGAGGAACTTGTGAAGCTCAAAATCCGTAAAGATGAAGATAACTCCGGTATTGCTCATAAACTTAATTAGAGTTGCTTTTTGTAATCTTGTCTTCCAGCTTCCTAAGTCTTTCAGTGTTGTCTCAGAGATGGCAGCTGGCATGAATCAGGCTGCCGAATCTTCAGCCAATTTTGAATTGTGACCCACATGCTTAAAATGGGCATTTTCTCAGTTTCACACATACGTAGCAAAATAAGGTAATGGGTTTTCTTGTTGCTCAGTTATTCTTTCATGTCTGACTCTCTATGCCTCCATTTCGGGTTTTCTTGGCAAAAATGCTACAGTGATTTGCCATTTCCTTCTCCAGTTCATTTTGCAGATGAGGAAACTGAGGTTAACAGGGTTAAGTGATTTGCTCAGGTCACACAGCTAGTAAGTGTCTGAGGCTAGATTTGGATTCAGGAAGATGAGTCTTCCTGACTTCATGCCCAGCACTCTATCCACTGTGCCATTTAGATGACCCCCAAGCTGGGGCTTTATCCTAAAATAAGTGCTACTTCTCTTTAGCCCACCTACCTCATTCTTTGAGATTTCTGGATGTGTTTGCATTCCTATTGAGTTACTACCAGACATTCCCATTGAAGAAATATGGAAAGAGCTGGGAATCCAAGAAACTGGGTTCTTGGCTCAGCTCTGCTATGCATGGTTATGTATTTGTCCAAAATAACCTTGGACAAATCACTTCATTTCTCTAAATGGTGGTAGATTCCTCATCTGTAAAGTTGAAAGGATTGTATAAGATTATCTCTATAGTCCCTTTCAGCTCTTTGATTTTCTTAGTTCCAATATTTGCTTTTCTAACAGTATTTTCAACATTTTCTCCAAAACAGAGCTACTCAAAGCAGAAATAGATCTAATTAAAAGAGCTAAGGAGGAAATTACATACTGGTAAATGGTACCATAGATAATGAAGTAATATCATTACTAAACATATATGCACCAAGTGGTATAACATCTAAATTCTTAAAGGAAAAATTAAGGGAGATACAGAAAGAAATAGACAGCAAAACTATACTAGTGGGGGACCTCAACTTCCTCCTCTCAGAGCTATATAAATCTAACCACAAAATAAGCAAGAAAGAAGTTAAGGAAATCAGTAGAATTTTAGAGAAGTTAAATATGGTTGATCTCTGGAGAAAACTGAATGGGGGCATAAAGGAATATACCTTTTTCTTGGTGGTACATGGCACCTCCACAAAAATTGACCACTTACTAGGGCAGAAAACAGGGCCACTTGTCTCTGTTTGAGGTCATGGTAATATGGTACATTTGGCAATTTGTATTTCCTCAGATCATAAGCTTGAAAAACTATGTTAGCAGAGTTGGAAAGAGGGGCTCCCCATCTGATAACACCTTTACTAAAGTCAACTATGAAAATGGAGTGACTTCTGGCAACCTATGGCATCCTCTTAATTCCTTCATCCTTAAAATGACCATGAGAAGTCAAAGTATCCAGTCCAATCTAACAAAGATTTGGAGCTTCAGAGGATCGTAGGTATCATTTAGTATTGCACTCTTATTTTGCAGATGAGGAAACTGAGGCCCAGAGAAGTTAAGTGATTTACCCAAGCCCACACAGTAATTGCAGAGCCAGTATTTGAACCCAGATCCTCTGATTCCAAATCCAACATCCTTTCTACTATATCATAGAGCAGACCTGCACCACCAGAGGATTTCCTTTACATGCAAAAGATGTTTTCCTCTACATTTTTCACCGGCTGCCCAAAATCCTTTGGCATGCCGTAAATGGCCCACAGGCTGCAGGTTGTACAGACCTGTCATAGAATGTGTCCTGAATATGAGAGGCCCTCTAAATAGCTCTACCATGATATGGCTCAGAAATAAAACATAAACTTTTAAGAAGGAAGAAATCACAGGAATTGAAAATCTTTTTCAAAAGATTTTTATAAAAATATCACAAAAAACAACCAGAGAGGTTTTGTGACATTGGTATGTCTCATCCTGACCAGATCTCAAATCACCAACAGATGGATTCATTAATATATCAAGGACCTATAATTAGTAAATATGGACACTCCCTCTACCAACACATGCCTGCATCACAACCTGTCCATAATTTACAGTCTTGGAGAGAGTAGGTCTTACTCTGCCTGAAATGATGAGTGTGTTAACTCAGGCTGTCCATGTGGTATTCCTTTCTGTAAATGGCCCCTTCTAATGTGGCAGCTAGGTGGCAACATATTGGATAGAGCACTGGACCTGGAGTCAGGAAGACTCATCTTCCTGAGTTCAAATCTAGCCTCAGACACTTACTAGCTGTGTGACCATGGGAAAGTCACTTAACCCTATTTACCTCAGTTTCCTCATCTGTAAAATGAATGGGACAAGGAAAGGCAAACCACTCCAGTATCTTTGCCAAGAAAACTCCAAATGGAGTCATGAAGAATCAGACACCCCCAAAATGACCAAACAATAACAAGAAAAGTATTCAGCATTTCCATTCATGTGGTCTGAAGGCTATGTATACTCTGGTAATAAGATCTCACGAAACCTAAGGTGAAACAATGTATGATTCAGTTCCCCCAGTTCTCCAGTTCTCTCTTTCTTCATTGTTACTTTCTCTGATTTTGGCCAAATACTTTTTTTTCCCCTGCATATGCTGTACCCCACCTGCAATGGCAGGTCTTTGCCCCTGCCAAAAAGTTCACATACTAGTAGCCATCTGACTCCTCCATGATTTTAAGCAGTCCAAAAGCGTTTTTTGCACCATTCAGTTCTTATGGGTTTCAAGTATGAGCCACTATGTTGCCCATGTCAATACCTGTGCTTTCTTTTGCTTGCCACCTTTCCAGCAAACCTTTGTCCTTACTATCCAAATAGATTCTAGGATTCTTTGAAAGGCAGCAACACCCTGCCAAGAACTTTGTCCTTCAAGCTGTGTCTTGTAGGTATTGATAATTCACCATTCCAGCTTTAAATTTCATGCCACCCCTTATTAGAGTCATCTGTATTTATAGCTGCATTCTTCAAACTCAACCACTTCTGGGGTTTTGGTTTTGGTTTTTCTTTTCTATTTTGGGTTTATTTGTGGAGAGAACCCTCCATCAGAGAGTGCTCTGCCTTTTGGGAAGCATATTTTGCTGCATCAACTGCCAACCTGAAGCAGACCTCAGCTGCCTTATTTTCCAAGTAAAAAGATAAGTATAGATTTTGCACGTGACTGGGGATGTTCCAACATTCAAAGCCAAGGCATGCTGACAAGTTGGCAGCAGCTTCAGAAGCAGCCACCAAGCAGTTGGACAGAAACAGATTCACATTTTCTGGTGTGTGTCTGCCTTTTTGTTCATCACCTCTTCATGTCTCCCAGTAATCCTTTTCCCTAAAAATAATTTAGTGACTGTCCTGTGTACATAATATTTTGAAATCTTAATGGGCCTGCTATAATACTTGTAAACACACCAGAAGGTGGACAAGAGACAGAATCCATAAATGAACATGAAGGTGCAGACCTGACTGCTTAAAGCATAGGCACTTGCCTGCATGGTGTGATTTCAGAATAGAAGAACATTGATCAATCGATGTGAGAAATGCCAAAGTTACTATTCTTTATTCTACATTTCTCCCTCTGCATGCCCTGTCTTCAAATATAAAACCTGCTGAGAGGGGTGGCATATAAAATTCCTAAGTCCTTAGTCTGAATGATTTGAATCAGATCAGGACAGGAGAAATTGAGTAGGTGAGAGAACCCAGTGCCCAAGGATCGGGGAGGGTACTGAAAGAAAAGGACCCAGAAAAAAGAGGGCATGGAGGCAAACTCTACCTACTTTATTCATAACTCCTGATATTTACTAGATGTGTGACCATGAGGATGTTACGTAAGCTCTCTGAGCCTCAGGCAACTCTCTAAGACTGTAAGTTATGGAGGCTAGAATGTGGGCATGTGTTGGTAGGAGTGTCCATACTTACTTATAGGTTCTTGATGTGTTAATGAATCTAACTGCTGGTGGTTTGAGTTCTGATCAGGATGAGACTTAGCAAAGTCACAACACTCCTCTGATAGTTTTTTGTGATACTTTTTTTTTAATCTTTTGTATAGTTAATTTGGAGACCATTGCTCAATTTCATACACCTAATATTCGTCAGGTTTCTTATATACAGTCTTCATTCCACTGAGATGTGTTGCCTAAGGTCCTCATCTTCCCTGGAATTATTGAAAGGATATACTAGTCCAAACCAGATCCCTCTTAACTATATACTTTTACAGACCTGCTTTTAAAGTAAGTTATCATTCAGCACTTATGTTTTGATCATCCATATGCAGAAGAGATGGGAGATCCCAGTGTTCTATCTCCCACCAAGAAAGCTTGGTTCACAAAATGTCTTGATTAATGAAGCTCAAAAATAAACAGGAAAAAATGGCTAAGACATTTCTAAGATCACAAAACTCTATGGACTACTAATGTAGGTAGGTAGCTTTTTTTTCCCCCTTTTTAAAACCTAAAATTATTTTCTTGTGCATATTTTGCTCTTCTGTCAAGATATGACTGATTGCAAAGTATTGAGTAATTCTTGCTGCAGTCACTGAGTTCCAATGCATGGAGAGACAAATCTGAAATTGACTGATAATTCTTCATATGGTTGATTATGGAAATGTTGCCATCTTCTGTCATAAAATCTCATGTAGGACTTGAGTCTCAAAGCATCATTTATAACTGTAAATCTCTGTGGATATATTTTGCCCAAACTTTTAAATGTTTCTGACAGTAATTGTAGATTGTATGTGCTACAGGAGGAGGCTTCCAATTTTTTATTTAATTCAATGCTACTTTCATCAGTCACAGCTAGACGATTTATAGCTACCCAATATAACTCGGTTCCTTGGCTGGCATGCGTTGCTGTTAGCTTTAACAGATTTTTGCTTTAAGATGTAAACATTTTGTCCAGTGACACCTCTCTCATTTTTTTTTCCATTTACTTTACTAAAAGAACTTTTTTTGAGCATTGATAAAGTCTCTGGTCTGATTCCTTGTCTTTTGGAGTCTCTTC